TAATAATATTAATAATAATAATAATAATAATAATAACAATAATAATAATAATAATGATAATAATAATAATAATAAAAATATAAGAAGAAGAAGAAAGCCGTCACTTAATGTTAAGTCTGATTCCCTCAAGGCCAAGCTCTTTTTGTAAAATGCAAATTTTCTTCTAGTTTATGAATAGTCAAGATTTAGTTCCATTAAACACACTTGATAATGAGGTCAGCATGACCCCGAAACGTCGTGAATTACTGTCTGTATCGTTTCTTATATTATTAATCTCTTACTTATCAATAATAATAAGGATAACAGTAATAATAATCCCCTTTATTTAGAAAGTGTGACACGTGATAGTAAACAACTCAGCACTGTTAATTTTGTGGCCCTCTATGTTCAATGTCTCTAAATGAGACAGGACCGCCATTCCACGTGGGCCAGTAAAGAGTATTAATTACCCCTGTGATGAGGATCAGTACATATTCTTACCTACCCCTGTGGTGAGGGTCAGTACATAGTCTTACTTACCTCTGTGGTGAGGGTCAGTACATAGTCTTACTTACCCCTGTGGTGAGGGTCAGTACATAGCCTTACTTACCCCTGTGGTGAGGATCAGTACATTGTCTTACTTACCCCTGTGGTGAGGGTATCACTTAGATTTCTATATTTCAGTGATGTCTTGTCTTCATATTCTGATGTAAACGTCTCACTTGTTACAACGATAGTGATGATGTACGAAGAATCAACTACGAAATAATAAGAAAAGTAATGTTGATAATGACGATTATGAAAATGAAGATTACAATGATAATAGTCATTATATAATGATAATAATTTTTATCAAATCAATAAAATTTAAAATTCCTATGAGACTGTTAATAAAATTGATTTCGTATGAAAAATATGAAAAATGAAAAAAATAAAAAAGATTACATAAAGAGTTTCGATCTAATATGACAGAATCCTATTGATTGTTTAGACTCGGTCTTATGTCTCAAAAATTAAAAACTTATATTCGTCCTGGGATACGCATTTTAATTGTCGTGCGGTGTTTTGAATGCGCGGGGTCATTTCTATCCATAAAGACTCTTCACTCACCAGAATCTAGAGTCCGCAGGTAAATACCTACGGCTGGCCCGTTACCACCGCTATTAACGCCTYGAACAGCAACGCTATAATATCTAAATGGCAGCAATCCATGTACAGTTGCTTTAGGAACTTTCACCCTTAGTGTGCCTCGTAACGGATTCTGTATGGCTCGACGATATCTGCGAAGAATTTGTTTGGCTTTGTGTTTTGCTCCTGGGAAGGCACTCATAATCTTTGCTAGAAACAACCTTCTCTTGTCTTTTGCAGATATTTCACAAAAGTTTGAATTATGAAGGTCTGTTGAAAAATATCGCAGTCTGCGATACTCGTTYATTTGATTTTCTGAAGAACGTCTCGATCTTGCATGTGATCTTCTGGGGTTTATATAATTCGAATATGGATGACCCAGAGAACGCCTTCTCCTCCTTCCTTCTCCCGACCCGTATGTTACCTTATTAAGACGGGAAAAAAACAAAATTTATAAAAAATAAGCGCCTACGAATAAAGGATTGAGTAAAGATTTATTTTATCGTCATAGTCATCGTCGTCATCGTCATCGTCATCGTCATCGTCGTCGTCGTCGTC